ATCACTGGGACACCTGTCCCCGGGCCAGGTTGCTCTGAGTCCCGTCCAACCTGGCCTTGGACACTCACAGGGATGGGGCAGCCACAGCTTCTCTGGGAAATTCATTCCAGTCCCTCACCTCCCTCACAGCCAAGAATTCCTTCCCAATACCCCACCCAAATGTCCCCTGTGCCAGGGGGCAGCCATTCCCTGTGTCCTGTCCCTCCAGGCCCTTGCCCAAAGTCCCTCTGCAGTTCCCAATCCCCGGACTGTGCTGGGAGCAGCTCCTGGAGCTCACCTGGGCACTGATTCGGGCCACCAGGAAGCTCTTCCTGTTGTCCAGCATGGACTTCTCCAGGAGACACTCCTGTGCCTGGCCCTGCCAGGGACAAGAGGGGGAATGTTCAGTGTCCCCAACCCTTGGGACACCCCAGAACTCCAGCAGGACCCCCCAGCTCCAGCCCCTTTCCTGAGAGTTCAAGAAGGCACAGGTAATATCAGTCCCAAGGTGTCCAGAGAGTCCAGGAATGTCACAGAGCCCTCCCTGACTCCCATTGCTCCCCAAAACCTCCTTTCCCCCCTGAAGGGAGCCCAGATCCCACAGACAACTCCCCGTGGGACACTGGGATCCCATCCCCAGGGAACACCCAACCCTATGGACACAGGTCGAGGTGTCCCAGTGTGCCCAGTGCCCCCAGTTCCCACCAGCATGAGGTTGATGTTGAGGCTGAGGATCTGGTGGCTCATGTCCACGCTGTAGGAATGTGGGAAGTGATCCCGCAGGTAGGTGAAGGCACCGGCAGCACATTGGAAGTGGGTGCAGGAAACCTTCATGCCCTGAGGGGATGGAATTGTTTGGGTTGGGAAAGACTTCCCAGATCATGGAGTTCACCCAACCCCCAGCACTGCCCATGTCCCCAAGGGCCACATCCAAAAGGCTTTGAAATCCCTGCAGGGATGGGGACTCACCCCTGCCCTGGGCAGCTCTGCCAGGGCTGGACAGCCCTTCCCAGCAGGAATTTTCCAATATCCAGCCTGACTCTCCCCTGGCACAGCCTGAGGCCGTTCCCTCTCCTCCTGTCCCTTGTTCCCTGGGAGCAGGGCCCAACCTCCCCAGATTCACCCTCCTGTCCCCCTGCGGTCCCCCCTGAGACCCCCCAGCTGCTCCTGGTGCTCCAGCCCCTTCCCCAACTCCCTTCCCTTCCCTGGACACGCTCCAGCTCCTCCATGACCTGTTCCCAGAGCCCCCAAACCTGCCCCCATGATTCCAGGTGTGCCCTCCCAGCTCCCAGCACGGGGACAGTCCCTGCCCTGTCACACCCCCGTGGGGCAGAGCTGTCTCTGGGCTCTCTGGGGGCCGTTACCTCCTCAGACACTCTCTTGTCCATGGCTCCCAGCATGGAATGCAGTGCTCCTGTGGGGACAGGGCGGGCTCAGTGGGGCAGGGACCCCCCAACAGCCCCGGGAACAGAGCAGGGAGCTCCAATCCATGGGGTCCCGTTCCTCACCCAGGTTGTAGAGAACACAGGCCTGCTCATACTTGATGTCCTCATGTGTCACCACCTTCCCCGAGAAGATCTCGGTCCTGGGGGAAAAGGGGGTCCCAGGACAGGGAACAACCAGGGATTCTCCCAGAAGCAGGATGTGTCGGGAGCCCTGTTCCCCACGGGACCCTGGGAACCCCCTGTGCAGGACACTGCTCCCCAAAGGTTCCCTGGGATCCCCCCCTTCCAGCCTGGGGCAGGATACTGATCCTTGAGGGGTCCCCAGGACCTCCCTGTGCCAGGAGCCTTTTCCCTAAGGGGTCCTCCAGAGCCCCCCTGTGCCTCTCTGGCACAGCATCCCATTTCCCAGAGGTTCCCTGGGACCCCTCTGTACTACCCCGAGGCAGAACCCCATCCCCTAAGGGGGATGTCCCCAGGACTCCCCTGTGCCAGGACCCCGTTCCCCGAGGGCTCCCAGGACCTCCCTGTGCCACCCCAGGACAGGACATGGTTCCCCACAGGGTCCCTGGGATCCTCCTGTGCCACCCCAGGACAGGACATGGTTCCCCACAGGGTCCCTGGGATCCTCCTGTGCCACCCCAGGGCAGGACACGGTTCCCCATGGGGTCCCCGGGATCCCCCTGT